CAGTAACTCATACAAATACAAATTAAAATATTTCATATTTCTTTAACAATTTTGCTTTGATCATTTTTTCAAGGAATTAATTGAGCCAATGCTTTTATAATCATTTTCCAGATTATTCCATAGTCTTAAACCTTTTACTGAAGTGCATCTGTCTGAAGGAAATTTTGTAATTTTATCACATGTCCTTCAAATTTGTTTGGATTTTCGATATAACAAACATTTGTAGTCCCTTCAAATTATAGCAGCTTCCGTCTTAATAAAATTAGATATGGTGTTTGAAGGTAACACATTTTTATGAGCTTTATACATAGCCTGCAGAATATGATATTCAACCAACTCATAAAATTTTTATAATTTTAACTGATGAAACAATATAAAGTACAAAAAGCTTGGCTAGCTTGCAGGGAAAATCTAAAAAAAAGTAAATAAAGCTTTTCTGCTCAAACTCATGTTGACTCATTGACTGCTCAAAAATGGCTTAAAATATCTTATATTTTAGACCCAATAAAAGGCAGTTGTTGCAAACATTTTAACCAAAACTCTTGCTGCCTTTTTCTTCACATACCGCTTTGGGACTTATTCCTCAGTTTGATGTGATGGGTTACATAATGTATATAAAGAAATAATTTATAAAATTTGTCCCCATTATCTTCAGCCTGATTCTCTGTGTTTGAAACATCAACATCATGACATTTAGGTCACAACAATGAGACAAAATGATTCACTTCAGGAAGTGCTACAGCTGCTGACGCTGCTTGCCTTCATAAATGGACGTAGATTTTCTGTATTATCAGCCATGTAATGTGAAAGTGATGAAGACTGATTGAACTGCCATACAATTTTGGAGGCTGGAGGTGATTTAAAATAGCAACAAGACACTTGTTGACATTCAGACTTTTAGCTTTTTAGTCTTGTTGTCACATGAACAGTAATGTCAGAATCTGATTCTTCTCTTCTCAGAATTGTGTGTTTGTAAAACACACAACTTTAACATGAACCCAATGAGCTATGGTTTGAAATGTGGTTTCTTGGCAGAGCTTCATCTGAATGAGCTGAAACATCTTGTTCTGTAATACAGCAGCAATACTTCTGCTTTGAATTTGATGCAAAGTGGTTCCTTTTAAATATCAAGTCAATTATTTATCATGACAGTCGGCATCAATCCAACACTTAAGACTTCATATTGTAGCTGCCAGATTAAGTGGTTAAAGCCAACACAGTGTTTGCTGTGGTCAGGGTCCTAACCTGTCTTGGATTATTGGAAAGTGTTTGTTTTAAAAGTGGTCCTTTGTTTAAAAAAAATCAAAAAAACAAGGTGGAACTCGACGCCAAAGTGTCGGTTGGTATGCCTTCGTCTGCCCTAGACATGCCTGCCTTTGAAAAAAAAAGACAATTTTTATATAATCAATCATCATAAATGACCTTGACCTTTGATGCCCGAATAATCAGACTGAGTACTACCCTAATCGAGTTACTATGCCTATTTATAAGTATATATATAATTTTATTCAGAAGACATTGTGCACACAAGACCACCGGGGAACGACGGTCACTGCACTAACACACAGACAGCCAAACAACAGTAAGGCTTGGGTTATACTTAAAGGAGACCAATTATGGGTCCTAGAAATTTTTATGGTATGTCTGTGGGCTATATTCATTCAATTTAATGCACAAAATAATTCTCAGATAGTAAAATTTCCCATTTTCTAGTTCTTTTTTTTCTTGGTGTCACTTCAGTAGAAAACGAAACCAAATATTAGTTTATTTAGTTTATTTATTTCTTCATCATCAGTGACTTTTTTTAAGTGAAGAGAAAATAGAGACAGACAGATAAACAGAGAGAGAAGTAATTAGAAAAATAGAAAGACTGAAATAGCGATTAGAAGTACATTAAATATACACCAACAAAGCACAGGACCACACACCCAACATCTGTCTGCTCGCCTGAAAAATAAATGGATAAATATATGGAGGGCATATATAAATATATACACATACCCATACATATATAAATATATACACATACCCATACATATATAAAGATATACATACATACATGCCTACATTCATAAATATTGTCAGTATATACACACAAACATATATACACACTCAGTGACCTGTCAGAACCCCCGGATCAGAACACCTGTTTGTGAGCAGTTGTGAAC